AAAAACTGTATTTACACGAGCTTCGATTTCACCCTATTCTTTTTTCACTATAGCGCTGACTATTATTAACATATAAAATTTAAAAAGTAATCCATTAGCTCTTATAGTAAGAAACAAATTTCTTCGTTTCATTGCCCTTGTTAATTGCTAAGAAATAATTATTGTTGCTCTGTTATCATACTAAACGTTAATCGTCTATAGTTAAAATGACCTATGATCTCTAGACTATGATTTTAATACTTAGAAAGAAAGAAAGAACTGCTAATAATTATAAACTGTCGAAGTTTAACATCATAAAACCCGTATTGTAATATTGTAATAATTGTAAAGACAAAACAAAATACGTGCACGTGTTGCTATAATAAGATGAAATGATTAGGCTCCAGATGAAAATGATATAACTGATTAAGGATATTAAAGGATATTAGTCATCTACTACAGTGAGATCATGCGATATCTAATTTTAATCGCTAAACAATTAAAAAATTCCTTACACGAAAACTATGCAATGAAATCAATTTATTGGTGAAAATAAATTATTTGTTAATTCCGTCCTCGATCAAATTGAGGTAATGCAACGTAATATAAATATTATGTAATCCTAATAACACAGCCTTTCTTAAAAAGGTCATCGTATCATTTCATAAACATTGTCTGGTTTTATTATGAATCATATAAGGATAGCCAGATATGATTATTTCTCGCACATATCTTGAGCTAATTAGATACGCAGAAGATGTAAACACATAACTGTATGGCATAGCAATTCAGAAACTGAACTTCGTCAACCATCAACGTTTTCATGTTACTTAGCCTCTTGATTATCTGATAATTTCATGGAGTAAAAGTCATACTTTACTTACTACTTAGTCTAATACTTACAGACAAGAATTAATTGTGTGTTTTTGATCTTTATCAGAATCTGTAAATTGTAAATAATAATTAGTCATTTTTTCTTTTATCATAAAACAATAAATTGCTATAGTATCCCTTTAAAAATTAAAAATTGCCCGTGATATGATTATTGATTTTTTAATGTACTCAATTCTGCATAAAATAAAAGGTAATGATCTAAAGTAATACCGTAACTCGAATAGAATGTCCAGCTACATCAGCATATTACCGTAAGCGTAATCCATACTGTACCGTAATTAAGAATAATGGTTATTTTAGATTTTAGGTTCAACTTTAACAGCTCTGATGTTATTATAACCATTATATCCTAAAGGAAATTGTAGTACAACTCCCTTCACATAGTTACGGCACTTTAGTCATCACGATTTATTCAGCATTGAAACACAAAAAAAATATCAAAGACTATGGTCATAATTCTTAATATTCTATATTACAATTAGATCGCTTTTCGGTTTATTTAATTCTAGCTTATTTTAATTTTCCCGTTCTTCTATCAAAATATCGAAATTTCTGTAACAGTAACAATAATTTGGACTGACTATCCATAAAAGACGATTTTTATCCCTTTAAGTACAATCTATGAGAATTTTTAGCTGTCACACACCTTTAAATAAATTAAACAACTTATGGCTAACAATTAGAAGTTATTCTAGACCTATTCCTTATATAAAAGAAATAAATGTTGTTTACCTAGCTACCATTAATTCCAATTTCATCCTGAAAATACCAGATCAATGTAAATAACATCATTCATTATCATTTTAATCTATACCATTCCATTATCGCAATAAATATTTAATATTACATCGTGTTATTTCTAAGGTATCAAATAGGCCCAGAAATGCTACTGACAGTTGAGTTCAGACATTATCTCTCTGTTAACGAATGTAGCTTTGTAATTATGGTGAATAAGGTAGTTAAAGCCTGATACTTTCTTTCAATCACTTAATTCGATATGTCACTTGGATTCGAATGATTTCTTATCATAAGATAACCACAGTCATACTGAACTATGAAGTTTAAATTTTATTTGTAGTAATTAAGTTTTACAACCCCTTAGTTTCGCAATCGTCTAATTCAAAATCTGAGTTATTAAATTTGAGCAAACCTCTAACATGACTTGACACAAGATCAGGCAAATACCGTGTTTAATCTTAAAATGTATCCATTTATTAATAAAACGCTTGACTAGAGAAGAATCCACTTTTCTTCCCTTATAATAATAGTCTAAAGTGGTTAAGGTAAACCGAATAATCGACTTCGTCTCCACGATGGTAATTTCATATTATCGAACAGTTATATTAAGACATTACACAAAAATTTTGCCTAATATAGCCGATTACTGCGGTCTCACACACACACATAGTACGATTAGTATAAGTACATCATTTCATCATCAGCAACTATGAAATTACCTTATAAGTATAGTAGACAATCCTACTTTTTAATGCTACTGTACTGCAATTAATACTGTAATTAGCTTAAACTACTACATTATTATAATACTAAGCGTGTCAATAGTAAACTAACGTCATGCTTAATAATTATAATCAGCTTTATTGACTATTAATATGCCTACAGGTTGCCTTTGCTATGATTATCCATCATGCAATAGTTGAATAATTGTCTAAATTTTCAAAGGAATGAAATTAAATTTGTACTAGTTATTACCTCAAAGCAATTTTTTTTATTTAATTACCCGGAACAGGTAGTAGTTACCATTAGATAACTGATCTAGAAATTTACAGATAACCATTTTATCTATGATATTTTAATTATTTGTATAAATAACTGCCTGTTTACATAATACCAGTAACGACGGTTAATTTTACTTAGCGAGACGCATGAATGGGTTGATTTTTTAATAAAATTGGGTTCATGATTTACTTCAAGAGAAACTTGTAGTTACTTGTCACAACTGTCTAAGTAGCATAAACTATCTAGAATTGCCCTCCTAGATATACTCAAAAGAATAGTCGTAAAAAGTGCAACTTACGTTAGGTTACGACTTTATTTTAGTAGTTCTCACTAGCAATCTATAATAAAAAGAAAAAAGAAAGAGCAGTAACAATTTACAAGAACTTGCTTTTATACCTAGACTTAAAATAAGATTGTATAAAGCAAGTGAACAACAGATATCCAATTAAAGGAGGTCAACGCAATTAAAGCCTTACAAACATGATAGATTGTAACTTAGTCGAACCGTATTATTAACTTAAGTACTATAAGAATTATTACATGTTAACTCAAAAATATAGCTCATAGTATGAGCTAGGCAAGAATTCCTGCCTAAAATGTATCTTATCTACTGTCATTTAAAATTACGGACATTAGAATTTCTATTACACCTACGTAATGACTCAATCGTCTTACGTATCATAAATTACGGACATAACACAACCTTAATATCGGAAACGTAGTTCTGTAACATTACTATGGTCTCTAGCTGATAAAAATCAGTATGGAATCGTAATGTATGCAATTATTAAAGAGGATAAACCTGAAAGTAAACTCATGATGGGTTAGCTTTTTTTTCATAGTACCAACATTTAATTTTTAATAGTTGAAAGAATGACTTTGAGGGATGCGCAATCTCGAAGCATAGTTTTAGAAAAGCTTATCTAGAGTAGTAACTACAAGCAGCAATTATATTGTGCTATCCTTTACTCTATTCCATTATTAGCATAGTAAGGTTGATAGGCTTGAGAATGATATATGAGTACAAATCGAAATTTGTAGCTAGAAAATTAACTATAATCACTAAATTAAAGACTATCTTGTGTAAGTTTTAACCTCTCAGTATCCATGTATAGTACGACTCTAAATACTTGCAATCTCTTTATCGTCAGGAAATTACGATAAGCTATAAGTATCTACAGATAAGCTAAGTTTAAACTTCAATAAAAGTCTACCAATTGACGTAGTATTGCTTCCTAAACATCCGCTATCAATATTTGTATAATTTTTAAAGTACTCACTTATCTATAAAAATATATATGCATTACAGATAAACCCATTATCAGGATATTTCCTAGATATCATATAAAATCATATTGCACCTGCTCCACAAAAGCGAAACAGCACGTATTTACATAGCCAAACTACCTTCTCATTCACAAAAACTCTCCACTCTATCACACTAGCTCCTGATTAGATAAGTTGGAGTAATGTCTACATGAAAATAGCACTGAATGAAAGACACTCTCAAACTTTAGTCAGATTCCTATATTTTATGAGTATTATATCCAGATAACTTACCGTTAGACACAGTTATAGGCATATACTCATGCAAAATTATCTTCTTTTCTGAGTCGACAGTTACATCGATTCGCATTGATGAGTTATATCGAATGTATGAGAGATTATAACCTACCAGATAAGGTATACATCCACTCATCTACAGTATATCTTTACGACTAATTTGCTAAATGAAAGTATTATCATTTATATATAGGTTAATATCGGGTTTTAACCGTAACATATATATAAAATTAATCTAAGTCTATAAGTTGCGCCGAATGGATGAGAGATTAGCGCCTATCAGAAAGGTATAAATCCACCTGTATTTACGATAAATTTCATTAATGACAGTAATCTTAGGAAAGTATGCACTAAAATGGAACAAAACATATCAACTCAGTTACGGGCAACCATATTTATCTTAAGGCCCACTATTAGCTCAGTACACGGTGTAGGGTAATATTTCCACCTAGCTAAGGCTACTAGAGTGCTAAAAAATATCGTAGATTAAAAAAGGGTCAATTACACTATGTTGGTACAGATAATAGACGTGATTACTACTAATAATTACGCGCATCTTTCAAAATTATTTCGCAGCAGTAGCTTTTTGTAGCAGGGAGATAAACCTTGATTAGTATAATTTAGCTTTATGAAACTTCATTATAGCATAGACAATTATTACGAAAATCAGTTCAATCTATAAATTTATCAGCCTGCGCTAATTAAGATTTAAGTAATGTGAAACTACACTTTAACTCCAGTTCTTTCAAAACTGCATTCGACAAATGGACCAATGACCCTGATTAGAAATAGAATAGAAACAAACAACTACGCAGTATTGAAATGCTTTTACAACATCATCTTTATTGCCTTCACATCATATGATCTACAAATTTGATCACAGCAATCAATCATAGCATGGGGAGGAATTGGATAGTTCTGCTTACTTCATATCAATGATTGGGAGAGGGGAAAATTATAGATTTTCTTCGATAAAAATTTCGCAACCACCTTTAATGATATCATCTTTAAGGGCTTCATTGAACATACTGCCACCAGGACATAGCTGAGGCAACATTTCGCATTCCTTGGCAGGCATGGGTGGAGGCATACAGCATTTCTCGTCTAATTTTTCAAGGTTCAATTCTTGAAGACGGGTGTATAAAGATTTTCCAAATTTCAAGAAGTTATTAGTGTGGTGACCAGCTTCAATCAATCCTACATAATAAAGAAAGAAGTTATTATCCGCTATCCCCTTGAAAAATCAAGAATTGTATATAAGTTACTGGCAAGATGTTGCATATCAACTAGTAAGAATTAAAATGATTTGGCTATTCAATTTCTACATTATTAAATACTTTTTTGGGTAGATGTTCTAAAGTAGGCTAATAGAACAATTATATTTGTATATTAATTTGAAATAAAATTGAATTAATGTCCATTTACCAATCTCTGTTACTAAATTGATAGATCAATAATTTTCTAACAATGAAAGACACTATCAACATATGCATCATCTGAGGTAGAAATGCCTAGTTGATATACACATTATCTAGGAATTATAGTTTTGGCGATATTATTAGATAGATGTTAAATAAATATAAAGTATACAGCCCAATTATCATTGAGGCCGTAGTATCTTTCAGTTGCAACTTATACTTACGGTCGTCAAATTTGGTATAAGATGGCTCTTTCTTGAAATCAGTAACAATGTCTACATCAACTGATCGACGTCGTTTAAGTGGACATTCATCGAAGGGAATGTTTAATTCACATTCTGCCCAGTAATCTAAAACCTGCTGCCTCTGATTACCGCAAACGTGAACAGTAGGAGGAATTTCATTGAAGATGATGAAATCTCCTCCTTCAATGACAACGACTAAGCCAGCCAAAAAGGCAACCAAAGATACAACATTCAATTTGGCCATTATTATCTACCTAAAATAATTTTTACATATAAAATTTAAATACAAAATATTGGCAAGCCAATTTATTCTACCATTGAATAGACTTTGCTATGATAGTCCTTCTTTTTTCAAGTAAAACTATTACATGATATCTTAATAACATAAAACACTATTTGGTATTCGATTTTACTTTGCTTAGAGATTAAGTACTCTAGTAGCTGTAAGTTAACTCAATGATAATATGAAGATTACGAGTAAATTTTCTACATTATCAAGATTTGATTAAACTAATATTGCACTGAGTAAAGTTGCTGTTGTATTAATATGCTTTATTAACTATTTGAATATAGATTATTGAATATTATACTAGTATATTTAAGGCTATGCAAAGTAGGAGTAAAATTTAAAAATCAAAATACATACACCTATAGCCCTATTCAATTGATAGCATTCTGCAGATTATCATTCTATTTTGTCTATTATAGCACAGACAAGGACTCCATAGTACAAATGCAAATGGAAAGTGCGCTAAAACTAAAGATTACCTTAGGTGAGAGCGGATGGAATATTCTTTTGACTGAAACTGCAATCTTCCAGACAAGCAAACACAATAACGTAAAACCGTTAATCCGCTAGCTTTTAAAGGTTGCCCTTAAGCTATCGGCATGCAAAATTAATGGCCTCTATTAATAACAGAAGTGGATCAATCGCAATTAGCATATTCGCCAATATCATAAATAACAGGTGCAAAATCTTCCTGTCCTGTCGAATATTAATCGATTTGTTTTGTAATTTATGGATTTCCTTCTGATTATAATGATTATAATTATTAGGACTGTTCCAACTAAAGGCCAATAGGGAAATGAATATTAAAATATTACGTATTCAGAAATAAACAATCAAGAAATTTATTTCGAAACTAATATTTTAGTGCCTTGGTCTCATCATCATTCGAATTGTAAATCATTTAATTCGATATCGTCAGTCCACTTGGATAACTAACGGTGTTGATAACTGTGTCGTGTTATTTAGATTCCTATTACATTCCTTAGATAGTTATCCTATTTTTTATACCTCATTTTAAGATGCAGAGAACTTTCTAGAAGAAGCTCTATTGTATCAACCAAGATATATAAACTCTACATAAAATCGCTTCGAATATCTAACGTGATAAAAGTATCAATCTCGTACGGACTTTAACAAATCAATAATTTGTTTTAAAATTCTTTTCGCCCTAAGGCGTTATGTTTATATTCAATTGGAGTAATATGATCGATAGAATTTGATCAATTTCCTATAGCTGCCGTAAATTTATAAATATTCAATAATGTTTTGATTACGATGACATATAAAATGACACATATCACTCCACACTTGAGTGAGTGATCACCATTAAAGTTTTCGCTTGGGTAGACTTGAACACCTTTTGCCTTAACGCCATACCGAAGTATATAATATTGCATCATCTATCTAGTTAAGCCATTCAACTGCTACAATCTATGTATTACAAGAGTTCAAATTTTATAAGATGATGTACAAAATTAGCGTAGATGACAAATACCAACTGAATAATATAATATTTTGGCAATGCAAATGTATCGAAATAGACTTTTATAAAGATGCTAAACAGAGAAACGAAATGTTTAATACAGTTACGTAATCTCGATTAAGAAGAGTGGCTAGTGATACATTTAATTTTTGCAATAAAGGATGACTAATAATCTTAAACATTGAAGTAATGCGCTAGGTAGCAAAGCTTAATAATTAAGTACCAAAAGAGTTTATCAGTTATATGCAATGGTTAATCGATATGCTGTGCACTTTAAAAAATAATAAACCTATTTTTAATATAAAAATAATCAGTTCGTTTGATTAATAAGATAAATTTTTAATGTTGATAGTAACATTTCAATTGCTACGTAGTCAAAAATAGATATTGCATTGGCTTATGAAGGAAAATGTAACAATAGGAAGTGGGACGCCTTAGCGTATTAGTAACGCTGTTTAGTTTTAAGTTAATTTGACGGATTTTTTCAATAATTAATGCTTTATAGATAATAGCACTATCCCTGTTTATGTCTAAGCAATCCAGTCTAAATGAATCTGATAAATATTGTCTAGCCAAGAAATCGAATAATATCGTAGCAATGATATTACTATTTGTTTGAAACACCTAGGATGCACCTTTATTTCTATCTAGATAATTATACACCAACTAAGCACTAAGTGCCTTCCATTGGGAATCCAATAAGTCACTTCAAGCAGAATAAATAATGAATGAAATCATTTTTAAACAAGATTAATTGATATATTGATTGATAAATTGGCTTATCTAACTATTGATGAATAAATATCAAACTTTATTCTAGTAGATATAAAATATCGTATTAGCGCATTAGTTTATTATTATATTCAGTAATTTTTATTTGCATGTACTCATATTGACCTTTTAATCCTATGAACTATCGTAATACAGCAAATTCTTAGCAATAATGTAATTTAGATTGATATACTGGACACAGTAAAATAGAGAAACAGTCAACTTCATATCTACTGTCCACGAAAAACCTTTTATAAAGTATTTCTTTATCTTAAAACGTGTAGTAAGTTCATCGCGATAATCTCTATAATTCATCAAAATTTAATTCATCAAATCTTCATTTCCAATCACAGAATTACAGCTGCCAGAATCAGAATTCAACTAAGGAGTAAGACCAAATCAATTATTATTTAATAGCTCTATATCCTATATAGTATGTTTCCTGTCGTTTTGTTAGCACTATAACACTGTGAAAATTAATAAGCTGAAAATTAAAACACACTATTCTTAGTGTTAATTTTTTACTACGCCTATTAACACATTTCAAATAAATTTAACTTGTACTGGTATTCCATTGTTAATAATGTATCATGTAGTAAAAATTTTTGACGGCATATTAATATTATATTTTACGTTGACGTCTTCTATTGCACTTAATGCAGGTAGCAGTATCGAATGGCCAAAGTGTAAATGAAATAGAAATAAACAATAGGCCATAAATAAATGATGTAATTCTTAGATCAACTTCCTACCCTCTGTTCTGACGTATAGTCATAAGTTCTCTATAGCATCCAGACATAGTCATTAATTTTCACTTGAATTCGTGTAGTAAATATTTGTTAAAGCTATACAAAAATTCTTATAATCATGAAAGAATATCCAATTTGACTAATATAGTGTACAAATTTCATGATAGAAATTTACACTTATAGTAGTGATTAAACTTTACTGATACGTTTTGCATTTTAAAGTATTGGTCCATGTACTCCAACGTTATAAATCATTTATGAAGATACTTCAGTTGAAAGGTGGTACCTACGTATTATAATTTTGTTATAATTTGATTTCAGATATCCAATCAGACTATTCTTTAGCTTGCAGAATTGATGATAATTATGAACTATCTGCGTAACATGAAATGTTATGATTAGTGTCGCCGTCGTAGGTGCAGGATATTGATGTTAGCAGAATTTTGTCACATATTGTCTGAGCGACGAATTAAAGTTTAAAACAGTTGAATGATTTATTTTATTGTGCTGTAAGATGCTTAATGATTACCATATACAATTACCTCTGATAGAAAAATAAAGCACAAACATAGAGATATTTCAGTTCCCAAGACTAACATTAACGCCACATCCTTAAGGCTAATAATTCGGATTGCTAAAAGTAGCGCTCAGTACTGTGGCATATATTCATTACTCAAATCATACCAGCTTTATTGTAAATCTAGTTTGTAGCCACTTTCTAACCAAAATAATCTACTACATAATTGAACTCTAGCAGCAAATAGCTAGGCGATAATTAATTGATGAACTTACAGCACTTGATATTAGTCAATAATCTCTGTAATAATGCTTAAAATGATATATTTAATAATTAAGCCATGTAGATAATAGAGATTTTTGTCAGAATAGGCGGATCTCTACTGAATTTTTAAACTCATTAAATCAGAGCGAGAGAAGTAATTATATTGATAAGGCTATTATAGCAATGTTTAGAATTCTGATGAAGATCATCTGTAAGAGTGTCATAAAGATAAAATATTCCAAAAGGAGCTGAAATAATACCATGCTTGAATGCTTTCAAATGAATATAATTATATTACCTAATATCCGAAGCAATTCCATTTCCTAGATATCCGTATTTATGTAGAGCATGTTGCTAATAATTTATTACTATCATAATATAGAAACCATTATTAAAATAGTAAGTTTTCCTTCTGAATGTCCTTGTTTTCTTAGCTGTTGAATTATCTGCAAATTTATTGCAAAGCGAAGATTCATGCTAAAATTTAATCTATTGCTTTGCCATAAGAAAATTTAGCTATTGTTGAAGAGTACCGGTATTATTAATTTGTCCGCAGTTAAATCATAATAATTTTCATTTTGTATCTCAACACTCTTACGCAGGTAATGATTTAAAAATTGGCATTCTTATATAATAGGACATGAACGCTTTATATTACGAAATAGAAACAATATTACTTATCATTAAGAGCAATACTGGTTACCGGTTATCTTTATAAATTTAACGACAGCATTATATCTAGAAAGTGATAATTAATTAATAACGCTACTAATTAATTATTGCGTGGCATTAACTAGAAAATATTAGCCCGCATTTCGAAATTTTCGATTGCTTATTTTACGTCGATGAGTTTTATGCTGCATAACGGTTAGCTGTTTCAACGTATCATGTCTAATAGTAATCATTCTTGAGTTAGAAACTAAACTGGATTCCTTCTAGTTTGATTCTATGCTAATTTCAGCTATATCAGTTCACTATTTATATGATGTTATCTGTTAAAAGAATATGACTTGCTAGCATTTTTATTGCTCTCATCTCTATTTATTCTACTACTTTTGTTCGCGGAGAGCTTATTTACAATTTAATCCGTCTGAAAATATAATTAGCCGAAAATTTAAATATAGCGCACGCCTAATGTGTCGCATCAATTAAACCAATTAGTCTTTATCGTTGCAGATTTTAACACTTTTGTCTATATAAAGGCAGAATCAAAGCGTGATTACGGATTTAGAATATTAAAATTTCGATTTAACTTTCTTAAATAGGCTCTAATTTTAATGAGCATTTCACCTCGAACATCAAGATTAAAGCACCGATTAAGGTCAGTTTAAATTCTTAGATGTTGCTTAATATTACTTAGCTTGATGTAAGGCGAGTAATTCTCCTCATACTAGCATAAGGAAGCTATACTACAATATTATAAAGTCATTCTTTTAAAAGTTCAAATCTTTTCGCGTATTAATAAAGTGATATATGTCCTCTGAAACTAATCTGTTTACGCTCTTACCTATAGCTAAAGTTAGTAAAAATTTATCCAACGTAGTTCACAAATATAACGCTTCAGCTTGAGCTTACCATTATCAGGCATAAGACTCGTTATGATACTTTTAAGGCAAAGACTATAGTTTTTATTATCAAAATACGATTAAATAAGTTCATAGTTACTACCGTACCCTTCTTATAATCAATCATATTAAAGTTATACAAGCAACTACTTTCTATGCGGAAAATAGATTTATTTTAAGTTTGTATCAGTTGAATATAATCCCACAATTTATCCCTAAATGATTAGTAAATTTAGGCTTTTAAATTCCATAACTTTAAAAACGCACGATTCCGAAATGTCTATTTCATTAATAGTAATTGAATGCAAATTACTAACATGCACTAAGATTTTACTATGTTTATCGACCGATAGCAAAGAACAAATACCATTGATTAGGCCGATTCAAAATTTCAGAAGTTCAATTTTTAATAGCATACACCTATGATTGAGTCACCTTGCAAATGACAGAATAGAGATATTCAGAAATGAATTTCATTATTCTTACTATAGCTAGACTTCAAACCCACAATGTTGAAAATATGCTATTCCGAGAGTTATTACTAAAATTTTTACTTCTATATATTTATACTTGTGCTCTGAAATACTAAGAAATAATATGATAATGATATAAAACAACGTGAGAGTAAAAGTAGCCCCCACCTACAGACAAAATTACCCATTTTACTGGAATATAGAGGGAATATACATAATCAGTGTAACATTACCAATTTATTAGTAGAGGAAACTAATAAATCAGCTGGTCTTATACTATGTATGACATGTTATAAGAGAAAAGTAACGGCAATTTTGATGGTAATTATCTATTAGTTATGGTATAAGCTGCAGGAGATAAATTTACGGCCTATTGGCGATGTTAGATAATGTGAAATGACGTGAGATTCCTATTCGTCACTGAGATGAACATATACCAATAAATATAATACAATAACTACTATTAAAAAGATTTTGGGAAAGTATGCTACAATAACAGAGGCTATTAACTATCATACGGGTTTATTTATATAAGACAGTGTAATATTGTATTCTAAGTTGATGATATATTTAGTAATGTCTACCGTAGGCGTTGTGTTCAACATGTGATAGATATTCTCGTTCGAGGCTTAAGCATTAAATATAGCTAGCTTAGTAACTGTAATCCTTTTGAAGAGGAGTGCTACAGTGCTCACACTAGAGCTTCACATGAAAGATGTAAACTAGTCTGTATTTGAGATGCTAATACTGAAGTGTGTAGTAAGTAAGGTGCTAAGACTGTAAACGCGGAAAAGTATTAAGCGAGTAGTCTAGTATAGTAAGAAAGTTCTTTCTCGTTAGAGGTCCTCAGCTAATCGGTTACGTTGTATCTTCGTAAACGAGGTTTTGTTCAATAAATCTTATATTTTCTAAAGTTTTGAAGATTTTTTATCTATCAACCTCACAATTTATGATCCCAGCTAGCAAAATAATGCACAACAGTATTTTTATACTGGGTAGTTGACGATCATAATTCATATACTGTACTTAGATACACGTACATATACAGTAAATAAGATAGGTATATTAGAATATTATCGCAATATAGTTTTATTGACAGTATCACAAATTTGACCTATTTCTTCTTATTGGTATTATTCTTCCTATGGTAATTTAATTTACAATATACTAATAGATATAGAACTTAAAAATTACCTACTGTGTCCGCGAGAAATTCTAGCAGTCATCAAGCACGAAAGCTGAGATTGCCCAACTGTCAAGAAATTTTTTCTCTATATTGGCAGTCGAATCTACTTTTGTACAATAAAGTTTAGCAAGCTAAACTTTATTGTTGTACAAACTACAGCAATAGCTTTCAATTTAACTTGCATAATCTGTTAGTTACACTAGTCTAATTTAGATTAAGTCTGAATAGAAATGGAACATGTCTATTTCAAGGCTCTATTATTAAAATAAATAGCCTCATGATCCAAAATTTAAATCAACGGAACAAAAATAAATAAAGCGAAATTCAAGAATCGATTTTATAACATCATCTTTATTGCCTTCACATCTTGCAGTCTACATATTTGATCGCAGTAAGCAATCATACTTTGAGGGAGTAAATTGGATAGTTCTGCTTACTTAAATCAACGATTGATAGCGAGAAAAATTATAGATTTTCTTCAATAAAAACTTCGCAACCACCTATAATAACTTGTTCTCTGGTAGTTTCATCAAACATGCTACCGCCAGGACATAAATCAGGCAACATACCACATTCAGTCGCTGGATTGGGTGCTGGCATACAGCATTTCTCGTCTATTTTTTCAAGATTCAAAGGTTGAAGACGCGCATATAAAGTTTTTCCAAATTTTAAGAAATTATTAACGTTGTCAGCTTCAATCAATCCTGTATAGTAAATGATACATATCAGCGATAAATCAAAAATATTAATTATACGACTGCACCTACATAAATTAACTATAAAATTGTAAATGTTAGCTATATGTTAAATAATATCCATCAGGAATCGGAATTATCAAGCAAACTCTGCTTAAGATTGATAAATTACTTCTTAGAATGTACTGTATGCTTTACTATATATGGATACATATTTCTTATGACAATACGTATAAATAAATACATACATATATAAAAGAAATGGATTTAAAAATGTAAGGGTGCTAAATTGAATTTACAACTGCAATATACCGAAAGTATTTAATGAACACGTCGAGTGAAGATGTCATTTCAAATCACGTAAAGGCCTTGGTAACTTTTAAAGGCTACATTGCTGCCTCTATGATATAACAAATTAATCTAATCAAGCATTGCGTAAGTAATCTTGATGGATGAATTTTTAACCAGTAAGGTTTTCGATCCTCTAACTCAAGATTTAAGTTGTTAAACAGAATAATTCCCTAATTTGATTATCAAGACCGCTTTTTAACCTTAAAAGTAACATTTTTCAAGTCTGTCAATCGGAGAATATTACACTCCTTTTCTCCTCATAGGAACAGTTGGAAACGATCAAGATAAACTGGATAATTATACTAACTTACTGTAAACTCTAGATTAATCATTCCATAAAACTTATACATAAAATGATTAAATATTCCTTTACAATATTCTACCCAGGAATTAAGAATCATGTCAGTATATGACTCCAATAAAGAACTTATTTACTATCATCTATATTTAGTCTTTTAGTATAACTGACTGTTATACGTCCTATGTGCTTTACTTCGTATTATTACTAGTGCAAACTCCCGTCGCTTTGCTGACGGTTTACGATAATGTGCTCATTTAACAGATAGTATTACCATTTGTCGTAGACCTGTCAGAGGTTCAGTAACTTTATACCGTGTACTGTGTAGTAGTAACGACTACAGCATTTGTACATTGGTTGATAAAGCCTGAGTATATGACATATACTGATATACATACCGCATTTCTCTAATCTTACAGTAACTCTCCATTTTTAGCTATTTAACAGAGGTTCTGTAACTTTATACCGTACCGTGTATACTGGAAATTAAATGAAAGACTATGCCGTACTCATATTTTAAATTAAACTAATATCAATTTGTAAGAGATATTTCTAATGAACGATTAATAACATGTTATAAAGAAATGAGACAAAATTTGCTATCCATAAAATGGAATGGCCAAACACTGCTAATTTTTTTCTCTAATACAGATAGTAGCAAATGCATAATTAAACAAACAGAAAAATACAGTTAATTAATAAGTTTTATTAAACCATCTTGAAATTGAATTGGAAATTCATTATCAAGGCAACTACTCATGGAAACCATATCCAAGTTTACCTCGTCTGGAATAATAACAACTAGTAAGAATTTAGCAGTAATTATGACTTATACTTACGGTCATCAAATTTGCTATAAGATGGCTCTTTGTTGAAATCAGAAATGAGATTTACATCAACTGATCGGCGACGCTTGAGTGGACAGTCATCAAAGGGGACGTTCAATTCACATTCTGCCCAATAATCTAAAATCTGTAGCCTCTGATCGCCGCATACGTGAATAGTAGGCGGGATTTCATTAAAGATGATAAAATCCGTTCCTTCAATGACAACGACTAAGCCAGCCAAAAAGGCAATCAACGATAAAACATTCAATTTGGCCATTCTTATATGCCTATAGTAACTAGAGTAGATGAAATAGCAATGTGTAAATTTTTAAGCAGCGAGTTTATAATTGTAAACAAATGATTGGTAACTGATTTATAAAACAATATTAATGGACTATAGCAATAGAACTGTTAATTCTTTTTCAAGTATGATTTTCAAATTGACTTATTAAATTGAGAACCACTAACTATGGTCGTTGTGTATTAATAACATGAGGAATGAATATTTTGCGTAGATATTAAGGCTTTGGTAGCAATAAGAGCAAATTACTTAATATCGGCAGTTAATAGTTGATTGAAAAGAAATGAAGTAGTGGTTATTAGCACAACTTAATTAGTACATATTTTAGAAAATATCTGTGAATTTTCTATAAAGGATTTCCTTAGCTATATTAAAAACAGCCTAAATGGACTAGCTATCGCACAAAATTCACCTATTTTACGAACAATTTGAATATAAGCTTCGAGCTAATACAGTATTTTAGAACATTTTGAAGTAGTATTCAAATTATAAAAGGATGAATAATGCAAGAAAATAGCGATCGATTACTTGGCAGGCGCATATATGTACAAGAATGACTTCATTTTATCGACATTCTGCTGCAAATTGTCACGATATATTTGCTAATTATAGTAATCGAATCAAAAGTAGTGCTACATTAAAATCATAAAATTAAGATGCTTGAGAATATTGATTGATTATTTAGCCGATGACTAGACTATCTTATATTGTGCCTCATTTTACCAACATCTTGCTACATATCCTCCTAATATTTTACTAATATTAGTAGCCAAACTGTAGTACTACATTAATGTTATAAAATTATAATTAATCAGAATACCGGTTAAATAATTGACAATATACTAAAATTATTATCTTATTTTACTGATTATAGTAATTGTAGTAGTCAAGCTGGAAGTAGCATTCCATTAAAGTTATAATAATAGAATACCTTCTTAAATTGATTAAGTAACTGACAGATAAATACGCTACGATGTAAGTTATTCTGTTTTAGCAACATCCTACTACTAACTATTATCTTATTTTGTAATCATGGCAATCAAAGCAGAAATAGGACTATGCGAAAGTAATAAAATTGTAATACATTAAAATACCAGTTTAGTAACTGGCAGATAAATAAGCTACAAAGTATCTCGTTTAACACTATTTTACTATAAATTGTCATCGTATTTGTAAATCACATGTAGCAAGTTACAATTTACAACCATCTTCCAAATAAACCAAGCTAGATAGCATAAGTATTAGTAGAAACTATGCTAAAATTGAAGATTATCGGTACCTGTAGGTAAAAGATGGGTGGAATAATTCTTCTGGCTGAAGCTGCAATCCTCCAGAAAAGCAAAGACAATAATTTAAGCCGTCAATCCTTAAGCTTTTAAAGGTTTTCCGCAAGCCATATAACATTAATAACTCTATTGTTAACAAGAAATATACCGAGCTCAATTAACAAATAAATATCATAAAATAACAGGTGCAAATCTCATTCTGTAGAATATTAATGGAACTATTGTATAATTTATGCATTTCCTATAGCTATTAGAAGGTTCTAAGTAAAAGTCAATCAAGAGTTGTACATCAAAATTTTATGCAATATTCGAACTGGATAAACAATCAAAAAATTTAATTCATTGACCTCGTTTTTGGTCTTAGTAGCATTATCATGGATAGTAACTGTTGATTATTTGATACACCATCTCGTTAGCTAAACTTGAAAATTACAGATATCGATTCATATTCATGCAACCTATTCGAATATCCTCTATATTCATCAGATAATCATTTATTCCTCTAAAATTCACTCTATGATGAGGACTTACGGAAGGAAGCTACAAACATTCAAATCAAGCTATAGTGTCTCCATGTAAAATTACCAACACTCAGCTCAATCGGTGTAATATATAAATCCCAATAAACTTGAATTAATCAACAGATTGTTTAGTATCACCTTCTTAAGACCATCTTATACTGTTACAAGGACATAATGTAATTGAATTGATAGAAGTAGGTCGACTTCATTTATTTGCCTTAAATAAATGAATATTTAATAATGTTTTTAATAGTTTGTTTATTTTGAGATAGAAAAATAACATTAATTCGCGGTCGACTGATTTTTAAACTTGCAGCTAGCTAGTTTAAACTATTCATACTTTAATACCAGACTCTATTGTCGTATCTAGCAGAGCAGTTTAAGTACAGTATTTAAAATATAAATCCGAACGTTGCAACTCTACAATTTGTTGGCTGATACGAATTTCATGATTTACAACAGCAATCGAATGTTTTATTATCAATTCCTTCACATAGATAAGACATAGAATGTTGAATGTATTATATTGAATACTTTTTCTTTATTAACCTAATCGAAGCAAGAGTAGAAATGATATTGATTGAAAACGAAATTATCATTATAAAGTACACAAGAGATCCTGGAGGACTGTAATGATTTTGATATTTTTAAATTAGCATCATGGTTTATTCTGTACCCCATACTAGGTAGATGACTAAATGGCGTCTCTATTAAATTGCAATTTATTCAATCTATATGAATTTGATAAGGTTTAGCTTAAATTCGAGCAATCCCTTCGTAATGATATCGTCTTGTTTTTTATTATTTTTTTGTAATATCTAGGATGCATCATGGCTACGCGGATTAATTAATAATAAAATATGCAGCAAGTAATATTGCTCACGAATTTAATAGCCAATTTCCAAAATAATAAATAATAGATAAAATCATTTTAAACAAGATTAATTGATACATTGATTGATGGATTATCTGATCAAGTGCTTTATCTCATAAAATTCATTTGGCTATTCTCATATATAGCAAATATTGAAGTGTCCAATTATAACCAGTAATTTGTGTCTTTGCCTAGCTACTTTGATTCTGCTATCCATATAAACCGTACTATAGTGATGGTTGCAAAATTATAATATACGAGACTGATGTATTCAGTATGTTAATGGCTTAATTTAAAAGGCTTTATATTTGTGTGTTTACTAGTAATGAAAGTTCAGTCATATCATACTTCATTTTATCATCATATCTAAAGAGTATATCGCTGCCCATTATAGTTCATGAAAGTTTAATTCAGCAACTTTTAATCTTCTAAGATGGATTTGCAGCTGTCGCTGTTAAAAGTAGACTACGGAGTAATTTCAGATTTGCTATTAATTGATAACTTTTTTCCCTTCAGTTACTAATGATTTATGATAATGCTATAATTTAAAATTAAAGCAGCAAATTTAATCTTATTTTCTTAGCGTAAACTATTAATCACATTTTAACCCACGCCTACTAAATTGACCTAGATTTTATTCTTAAAATGGCATTATATAGGAACTTTGAATGCACGTTAAATGACATTTCACGTCATTAATAGCTTCTACGACATTAAATTTCTAAAACTGTCTCGATCACTTATAAAGCATCTGCAATCGACAATAAATATTTGAGCATTATATATTTTCGGATCTATTCATAATATTTATACAGTGTGTATTGATAATACGATGCTATCTACAATAAGGTGTAACTATCAGTAAATAAGCTTAATGCTTGCACTAATGATTTCTATATATCGCAGTTAATTTCTATCTTAATTCACGTAATAAAGTCTTTATTAAAAGTATAAATACTTCTTATGGCTGTGACAGAAAGTTTTATATAGTCTTGTAACGAAACTACATTTTCCGTCACTAGCAAATCATATATGCTACTGTTGTTTATTCACGTCTATTATTTTATTAAATAGGCATTTGTAGGTATTCCGTCAGTAATATTAAATGGCAGTAGTTTATTAATTTTGAGATAGAATGTCTGTCTGTTCAAGAAGAATGGAAGATAAGCTTATGCATAAAGCTTTATTTTGATTTTTGATCAATTCTTCTCAATTTAGGTCAAGAATAGACTTTGATTGTGCTAAATTGATATCATGTATAAAAAATTTTTTGAGAATTGTCGTCCTATATTTAGATACCGGTGCCTCCTATTAGGTTACTTTTTATAATCTTATCTTTAAGTTCGTATGCTGTAGAGGGATAATCCAAAAAATGATGAGTAAAATAAAGTTAAATGAGTTCCATTTTGTTACTGTGAGAGCGAGTCCTTCCTAAAAATAATCTATTTGTAAGTAAAACCTTAATAGTTGTTTTGAGCAATTATTTTTGAGACTCTAGTAACGATTAGTAGTTAGCAAGGCAACTACAGAGGGGTAGTTTTAGAGGTGTCAACAATAGAAAAGATACGAATATATTCCTGTAACTTTATATTATCTGGATAGTTATGACAAAGTGATATTTGGAAAGATCACGATAGTAACTGACATCAAATCAAAATAATGATAATGATATAATATCAGATCTACATTCTACGTCCAAAAATATAAACCACAGTTCTAAGCTTTAATGAAACATAATTAAGTATATTACTCAATACGTATTATAGTCTCTATTCTAATATGTGTTTAAATTGGGAACCATTTCTGACTTTATTATTAAACTGATAAAATTGGTAATAAATAATCATGAAGCATTACTTTAATCATGAATCATTATAATTTATTTACTAATTGTTTCGTAAATTATTTATACTATGTAATTATATTTACTGCAATGCCTAACAAAACTATTTCTAGATAGTTTAAAATGTTTGCTTCGGTAATATATACCATCCATTAAATCGAAATTTAAAATTGCTACTGTCATTATACGTAACCGAAGTCTGCAGCTAATTGGAGACTTTATTACCATAGCAGGTAAGATAGTCAGCTTTAGGCATTAATAATTCTGACTTAGAAATAGGATAATTTCTTACTTCCTAATTTATGAATCGAAAATTTCAAATGTCAAGTAATATTTTTCTCGCACCATTAAAAGCCCAATGTTGATGAAATTTCATTACTCATTATGTAGGTAATAAATTAGTTTTGAAACTATCGAGATATTTGTATTACATCGAATGAACACTAAAATATAGGACTGAGGTAAAGTTAACGATGTTAATGCATTCCTTAACAATCAAAGCGTACAGAAGTCATAGCAGTAAAATTTCTGAAATGGTAATGGATGTTATCCTATCTAAAAATTGTTATCTTTAGGCATTCAGAGACTTCCACACGTGGCCTAAATTTTCCTAGCAATAGCTTATAACAGAAAAGAGTAGGCGTTTGATTAGCTAGATTGCTATAGCAAGCGTTAATGGTACAGTAATAATTAAGCCATCAGGAAAAGGATGTAAATGCCTATCCTATTAATTAATAAATAAGATGCTTACAACAATAATCTTCAATCCTCATTTAGCCACTAAAAATATTACTATTAAAACGCGGGTTCAATTATTTAGTACTTAATACTTAGTATTTATTATATTACTCATATTCACATATATGCAGTTACTGAATATACTCCTAATTATAACTGAAAGATAGTACGTAGAATATTATTAATTAAAATCAAACGTTTAGTTTAAAGCTGCAAAATATATCACAGCAATCAATACATTAATGAGCCATTTCCTGCCTTCATTTATAGACTCTGGGTATGACTTTTGCCACTAGGTATCCAATTAAATGTAAAATATGGATATTTAATCTTGAATACGGTTAGACTTAAGATCATAATTATATTGTTTACGACGATAGAGCATCTATTCGATACCCACTCAGTTCTTAATATTTCTCAATACTACATTTGCTCTTTTACTAATATTTTTCATCAAATATTAGCCAATACGGAAGAAAAGCAGCGTAATAGTATATAATTAGGCATTTTTCTTTCATGATGTAGTTGTCATAGCCAAAAAAAAATCGAGCAAAAGCACCAGCACCGGCTGTTATATTAATTTAAGATGAATGCATTCTGCTAAGATCATTCGATCATATTTTGCGCTATATAATAAGAAATAGTGAAATGATTTTATGCTGATTTGCTTTCAAGATGACTATTACGCAATGAAACAATATATTTCTATATTTCAATACTCTATTTCTTGCTGAAATAAACTCAAAATAAAATTAAAGTTAAAAAAAATGTATAGTATACTACTGCAATTGGATCTATACAGCTACTTCTGTATTTTTAGTAGTCCATTTCCGGCTGAATTGAACTCAAAATGGAATGGAAGATACAAAAATTTACAGTTCTACAGCAATTTACCTATACCGTATAGCTGTAATCAACATGATTTTAAATAAAGTATTTTCTTGTCTTTTCAACTGATCGTAATTTTATTCATTTTCACAATATCACCTTAAGGCTGTAATCTTGCGAAGTTACGAGATCTGAGTTCGATCTATATATATCTTATGACAATTCTTTCTTACTCTGATTGCATGCTATTATGACACAGTCTTTTGAATATCTCGTTTAATTAATAAAGTAGCAGTTAAGTATCTGCCTGAGCACGATGTAACTAAATTAAATACATACCTGATGGAAAGATTAACTAGTGAGCATTGCGGTCATTTTTTTCAATCCAACTAGTTTCTGGATGTTTGGATATGAAAGTAACATTGACTGTAATAATTTTGATACACAGATACTGGAGTAAGAAAATTAGCAAGCGGTATATGTATAAGTACTGTGTCTGTAATCTATCCTAAATTTTATAGATTTCTGTTATCCATCAAAAAATTTTATAATATCGACCTTTATACATTTAATGGCAGTTTCAAGTATTATTACAGAGGAATCTCGTTTATAGAATAAATTTTTTGCCGTATCTACCCATCGGACGTTAAATTGTATATGAATTTTCGTTTTACTGTCTACTCGCTACTAAAGGTCTATGGCAATCTTATTACAGTAGCTAATCGTAAATTAACAGATAAAATAGATCTACCCAGATTGTTTTTTACTAGAAAAAATGAAAGTTGCTTAATCTTCACATTAGAAAGTCTTTATATGAGCAGTGAGGAAGATTCAATACTTGAACAATAAGAAAGATACTCGTATCACAGTTTTTGTTGTACATTTTTTTATTGCCTTCACATCTTATAATCTACACGTTTTTTGGAGAGCCAATCATCAAGAATATAATAAGTTAATAGGGTAAATTGAATAGTCCTGCTCGCATGCTGCAAAGTTATGGCGTGCATTCTATTTAACCTTCTTGGGCTAATTCGTCAGCTGCCAAACCGCAACCGATGAAGATAATTTCATCATATGAATTTTGTTTGAATCTAGAACCACCGGGGCATGTTTCCAAGAATTTACGGTCATTGCAGTTGGGGATAATAGTGTTCTTACAACAGAGACGCCTGATATTACGAAGCTTAGCATTATGAGCGCGTTTGTTGTGCATTAAGAAAGTATTCGACGCCTTGATGGACTCCAAAATACCTTAATGAACGTGAAAAAGGAGTTCTTATTAGACTGCTATCATTAAGTATCGAATATAACTTTTACGAGCCCGTAATATTGACAATGGCTATGCTATTTATCGAATACAATGTCAACAAATTATAATCTAAGTAAATTACCATCAAATTTGATATCACGATTCTTTTTAGCTTCCAAAGCGTTGTAAAATTTCTCATCATCTTCAGCGGTAGCAAATCTCTTGGTAATAGATGGAAGAGGACAAGATGACAGTTGGATTTTGAGACCGCACATATTCCAGTATTTAACAGCAATTGATTTTGAATCAGCACAATTTAAGACAACATTAGAATCATCTTGACCAATAACAAAATCATCATTAGCGGTTCTTAAAGCTGCTGCGACGCAGACTAGAGCCAAAAGTGGAACGAGTGTAGATACAAATTTGCCGGCCATTTTTTCTCTCTAATTGTAAAATAACAAAATACACTCTGTGAAACTCGATATAACGCCATAGTACTAGTTTCTTTTAAATAAGTTTTTCACGTTATCCTACTAAATCATCAATGATGTTAACGATTACAGTAAAAATGCAAATTTTATCAGCTCTCTATATTAGTTAGCTAAAAAATTTTACATTACCTATAAAAATTAATGAAATATGAATTGAGAAAATGATGAGTCTGACAAATATACCAATACTTTTTTAAGCTCAAATATCAGATAATATCGGTGTTGAAAATAACTAGACAAAAATTTTTTCTTGTATCTTATCTACGCTAAAAATCAAATCCTTCACGTACCCTTTTTAATGTAGGCAAGATATTTGTCGATTATCTTAAAGCTGAAGGCTTAATTTCTTCAGATGTGTAATGATAATTGATAGAAAGTAGAGTAAATCAATGGCTTTTATATGTTATTACTTTGTAATATAAAATTAATGACCAAAATCTTCCAACGTCAATAAGTATAAAAATTTTATTGTTTATGCAATCTGCTTATATTCCAGAGACGGGTGACCAGGTCTCAAATCTGGATCATGGAACAAAAATAACATTGATATCATCAATTAAGGTAACAGGTGCATCGATTCATTAGTGCTCAAATAGACTTCCTCATAATTTTCCATTTTAATTCAGTGATCAAATACAATCATGCTCCATAAAGATAATGGCTAATAAATTATTCAATATGATATCAAATCACCTAATGCTCATTCCAATTATACAGGGATAATAACTAATTCTTATCATTAATATGTATAGGCTTTATCCCTATTAATTTACATTAAAAGTATTAGTTGTTACTAGGGTATGGTATTCATTAAAATAACCTCTACATTGATCTGCCTTAGAGGTAATCTTAGTTTTCTTATTCCTGTCTAAGAAGTACCCGTAATGATGTACTGCTACTTATAGATGCTTAACTTATCAATTTATTTCTTTAAGAGAGTAGTCTTGATGCAGTACTTGAAAATAGAAAGAGCTTCTATTAAGAACAATTTGTAGTTAACTTTCCAATTTTTTTCCAATTTACAACCATATTTCTGATTCAAAGCTTAAGAGTAAGAAGACATAAGGGCATGAATTTATTGTTGTTTCTATAGGAATGGATTATAATCTACTTTCCCTATTAAAAATTATGTAATATCTTTTACTTTTGAAATTAGTCCATTAAAGGTTACATAGAATGTATTTTTATTGATTCAATGGCTAAAAAATCAACACTATCCACATGCCATCTATTATTGATTAGAGGGATGTTGAATTAATGTAATTAAAACAGCCATAATATTGACATTGCCAAGATTGATTATAACATTTACCACGCATCAGCAATCTTGCGTGCTTGGTGACGACAATTTCATATTATTTGTACTGTATTGTTTTCCATCCTGATTACTACTACTTATGTAAGGGCAAGTTATACCTATAGAATAGCAATCGGCAAAGTAATCTTAGAAAATAACAGACTTGTGCATTTTTAAAGAGCACGTATTCAAAGAGAAAACTACTTTCTAACAAAAACGCTCGTTATGACAGCTAGCCATAAAAGCGTTACATAAATAGCAATCTATGCTAATAAGATGATACCTAGTACTGCGAGTAAATTATGCATCAGAGGATACAACTACTTATTAATTTTACCATCATTCATTTTGAATTTGCTACAGAACGGTTAATAAGTAATTACTTAAGGATATTGCAAGTTATTGTTTAAGTTTATGTAAAGCTGCTAACATTTATGAAAGAGAACTAATACCTGGGGATAGCTAAGCTAAACAATAATACTAAAGGTAGTCAACAAGATATTTCAAGAAATGAAGACATTCATTTTGCCAAGTTGTATTAGAATTACGTTATAGAAACAATGTAGTTAAAATATCGATTTTTTTAAGCTAACTATGGAAATTCAGAGTTATCTAATCGAATATTACTAAATTTTCGCCTATATTAATAATATCCACGCGTAACTTTTTCTGTTAAAAATTGACTATCAAAGGTGTATAATCTACACCTATAGAGAGTACAGTTAGCAGATTTAATAAAATTTCTCCTAAATAGTTTGCTTTAAATAAAATAGCGGATTCATTATTATACAAGCTGAAGTAATTAAAGTACTCGTATATTTAGCATCCCATTCAGAATACATTAGGCTTCATAGTATTTGCGTACACCATTGTTCATCCTTCCATTTTATTTATTTATAATTCTCTACCCCTAAGATACCGTACCTATCTTTTAATAAATTACAATTTTAATATCTCCCTAGCAATTACTTTCCCTAAAAATACTATCAAGGTGTGAGATATACCAATCACGAAATTCCAAATTTTAGAAAAATAAGGGCTTTATTGAATCTTATACAAAGATTAACTACACACAGCTCTACTTTAGCCGAATACTACTACTAAAGACTTCTAGAACGAACTAACAGAATAATCTAAAGTTGCATACTTTTATACTTTTCGTAGCATTCGCAGCTACAATCCGCATGGCAACCTTTCACCTTATTTTACACATAGTAAAATTATTCTTAGCAACACTATTCTACTGCGGACCATTATTAATCCAATATGGATACGACTGCAGTATTTACGTAGACATTATTCACACCAGCCAAAGTACAATGCATTAACCATATCCTACTATATGATTTACAGTTCTATTTTTACCTATAACCTTATTAGTAACGCAACACCTTACCGTATATAATCATATGTACTCTAGCATAGAGTCTATACCACTACAGTCTATAGTTATGGCTACCAAATATCTCTTAGGATAAATATCTACCGTACATTATACTAAACATGGCTAACAGTCTACAATTACAATACTAAGTTACATTACACAAGGAAAGTTCTTTACGAGAATAGTACCTTTATTAATGTTTACTTGTAGCTTACTTTTAGCAATAGCTAGTTTATTTTCAACTATTTGATGAAGAACAAAGTCTTTAGAATCGATCACTATCGCCAATATTCGGCTTTCACATCAGGTACACAGAATAAATTGTTTGCTTCTAACAATTTCGAGAGGTGTAAAGCAATAAAAATAAAGAAATAGTTCATGCATTAATTAAGATCAAGGATAACGAAACTACATTCAGAAATTCCTATATTTCCTAAAGGTATTGATGTAATACAAGATAAACCCTCGAAATTTCTAGGATTAATTTCTCATGTATACCAAGTACAACAGGATGTAATTTTAGTTCGCCATCACAAAAATGCTGTCATTAATGAGTACAGTATATTATTTCCACAGCACGACCGTAACAATATGGTGATCATTACTAAGGTTCAGCAAAATTCTCTTGATATTATCCACGAGTACTGTGTTGAATGATTTAATAAATTAATTTGACAGGTAAGATACATATTCTCGTATCTTTTTACATTACTGATTCATATAAATAGATAACCAGAATCGATTCCTCTCGCAAGATCTCAGATACTAAATCTAGATTGTAAATCTAATCATACAACACAGAATGGATATGATACACTTGGTTAATATTATATGTATAATAGAAATATTAGTGTAGAATAGTTAGAATATAACAGAAACAGCATTATTAATTTTACATTGTTTTATGTATATCTTACAAATTTTGATACAATGTGCTCATAGCACTATAGTTATTACTTTACGATTTTGACTCTTTTGATAGAAAACAAGAAAGCCGTGAGTACAATATTTGCATTTACAGGAGCATTTTCTCTTACCACTATTAAGTTCGTAGGCCACTAAAATTCGCTTATTTCGCTATTAAACTGAACAAATTTTCATATATTCAATTCAAAATTTCTATTTTCTTGTATGTAAGCATATTTTCACAGTATTGCAGCCCAAAATCAGGTAAAATAAACAGACTACAATGTTTAATCGTAAGGTAGAATTAAAATTCATCCTATCTAGGGTTTACTACCGAGTTTTTCAACCACTTGCAAAGTGTCTCATTAATTTAGATAAGCAAACAAACAAAATACAAAATCCGCAATTCAAGGTTTGCGAAATCTCATCCACTATTAATATTTTTCTAAGCAAAAATTTAAGAACTTGATTTCATGACAGTATAAAGTACCGTCGTATGGATAATACTAGCATAATCTATCGATTATAGTCTGATACTCGTAGATAACGAGATTAGGTGTAATACTTGGTCTAATAATTGTTGATAAATTTATAGATGATATTCTATTCTTTACGATACATAGGAATTCGGTTAATTTCAGGTATTTAAAATAACGAACCTCATATGCACGCTTATAATTAACGTGACGACGTATTAAGAATAATATTCGTAGCCATACGACCATATTTATAACGCTTGCCTAAACGCTACCAAATATAATTTATGACATGCCTTTTTTGACTGTAGCTCCAAAAGAATTTATAAGAATGAAATACTTTATCACTTTTAATTGCTTGTTATTACTCCTGTACATCAAGATTGGTTACACCATGTTTCCACAGGTGCCCAACCAACTTATGTGATAAACCGGATCGCCTTCCAACTACGAGCAAAGTCTGCTGATGAAATTTGCATTTATTATTGTAAGCTCACTTTTTTTAAGGTATTCAGCATTGCTTCTTATCACGAAATTGTAAAATAATATTAAATGAGATATATCATTTAGGATACGATCACTGTTAAAGGTAAGTATGATAAAGCAATGAAATACGAGTATTCCTATTTAGGGAAGAGTTTATTAAAATTTCGAATAAAGAGATGATATTAGCATTAATGAGACGTTACAAATCCTTTGATAAACAAACGTAATCAAACTAATAATTGATCGATTTCTGAATTAATTCATTGTTAAAGTACAGTATTTATTTACGATGGGAAGTTTCACAAACATGAGTAACTGTTAACAAACTATTATAAGTCATCTTGTTCGTGAATTGTACTAGATCTGCAGTGTGTTCTACAATTCATCTTTACTATCATCAGCATTTACAGTTATGCCTAGTTCGCTTAAATCAAATTCTTCTTCTTCTGGCAATTGGCCGTCTTTGCCATCCCAACTATCAATTGTCAAAATTTCGGGTAGTCCTTCGCCACGAAGGGCTGCAGTTGATCCACGGCCATATGATAATTCTTTTAAAAATTCATTAACAGTCTGCTCACTAAATGCTAGCTTCAATTCCGCAAACAGACTTTTCCGAGGATTAAGCGCAATCATTGCTGGATAGCCATATCCACCAACACCAACAGCGCTCTCCAACTTGGATTGTGTACCAGCAGCGCACCATAACCAACCCCATTGCTTTCTTTTAAATTTATCACCAAGTCCATGTATCAGCTCAAGAAATTTATTTCGTCCACTAGCACCAGTGTCCAAGATATTTGGCAAGAAGGAAATTACACATAATTGTTTATTTTTACAAGTTTCATCGAACACCTCTGCGTTTACTAATTCTATGATCTCAGGGGGTTCGGCATTTTCAGCATATTTCTCTTCAGCCCAATTGACAATATCAGATGCAGTGCGACCACCAGTATAGTCTTCAGCACTGCTGAAGTCTTTCTTGCCTCCAGGAAAGAACTTAATAGTAGGAAATCCTTTGACCTAATCAAGTCCAAATGCGCCAAAAAGTAAGTTATGTACAACAGCTACCTTACTACACACAGGTAATTGGCATTTAAGGTTAATATTGCAAGGCTATAACAATTGCAATTGCCCATACCTCGTACTTATTAGCCACAATAGTATTAGCTGTAGCGTCAACCGCAGCCAGGTTAACTTTACCTTTTAGACGAGTAGCAGCCCTAGCCCATTCTGGAGCTAAATTTTTACAATGCCCACACCAGGGAGCATAAAATTCTACTAACCACATCTCTTTGCTGTTGATAATCTTTTCTTCGAAGTTACCATCAGTGATTTCAACTACATCGTTCGATCCCGAGGACTTTATATTTTAATTATAAAGAAATGCTATAAGAAATGCTGTCGGAAATCACTTAACAGCTGTACATAATCTATTTCATAATTACTAACATTGCTATCACTGCTGCTACCACCGCTGCTGCCGCTACCGCCGCTGCTACCGCTACCACCACTACTACCGCCAGCACGTTTTTGTGTCATTTCTCGAAGTGCATTGAATGCATGTTCAACGATAGCCTGTGAAGTTCTAGCTCCTATAGAAAATCGTTATAAAATTAGCTCTGAACATGTTTTGAGCACGACTACAGTTTACGTTTCCTTTAAATACGGTAATACGATAAACATGGTGATAATGAAGATGTACCATTATAATCGCTTGGGTGATTCTTATCAGCTGCAAATATCTGCAATAGAGCATAACTAGCTTTACTTTCATGTTATCTAAATTAAAATTCATAGCAAAAAAGTTTAGCATGCCTTGATAGTTGGAAATCCTTGCACATTGTATGGGGCCCCAACAGAAGGATATTTATCCATGTCAACAGCTCCAACATTTACTATCCCCTGATGAAACAAAACAAAAGCAATTCATAAGTAATTTTAATAATTAGAATTAAAAAATCTATAAAATACTCTGATAAAATTAATCCGAACAATTTTTTCAAGCAGCAAAATCCTACTAAGGGTAAAAGTAGAAAATTGTGCTTCTTCATCATAGCTACCTTTAGTGAAGTTGCAGCTTTAGACCATTCCGGTGCTAGCCTCTGGCAATGTCCACACCTGCATTAGTTGTAATAATGATAATTATAACACCAATATGCTCACAAATGCTATACAACCGATATTCAGTCTTGAGCGAATTTCCAAGCAGCTCATTTCTACAGTATGTTAGTCTAAAGAGGACCTCCTCTTAAAAGAGTATATAATAAAAATTGTGTATTACTAAATGAGCTTATTTTATTAGAATCGGTATACACCTCAAATCTAGCTACTCTTTCGTTCAGTATGTATTGAGATATAAGGTTAGAGCTATATATCTCTGGTTGAAACTATGAACAGATGATAAAGACTACGATTTAAAAAAATTCAGACCCATTCTCACACTAACAGGCTAATAGCATCATACACGTAAATAGCCTTTGATGTAATGTAAAAGTAAGCTAGTCTATTATGCTATTTGTCGCCCATGTTTCCATCAGATAGCATCCCCAATTGGGTAATAATGTCTATGGACTACTGATAGCTAACATGTTTGCTTAATAACAAATAGTGATAGAGAACGTCAATATGATGCAGTCATAAGTTAACGTATTTATTGTTAGTATTTTTATCAGACATGATGAATTTAGTGACATATACATTACGTAGTACTGATAGCTGACTTGTTATACTGCACGTTGAAAATAGGATTACTCAGTATGATAATGATGAAATACTACTTTTTAAACACATTGTGATGGAGTATAGTGCGCTGTTACTTACCAGGGGGCATAAAACTCCACCAGCCACAACTGATCACTTTGTAAAACACGAGTTCTGAAATCAGCATCAGTCAAGATCTGTACATCAGATGATGCATCATACAGAGCCTCAACATTTGACAGGGAAATCAGTAAGCAACATGTAAGAACGTCTAAATAAGACAAGATCACACAAATAATGGATTAGAATACCATCACAACTGGCAGTCAAGCACTATTATACGTATTGTTAGTATGTACAATCTAGAAAATGCAACATTGACGCAGTTATCTTTATTGAATGGGATGAAATTTGTATCCTCTACCGAGTAATAAATGATAAAATTCGTAGTTGATTTATGCAAAAGTGCACGATCACTTTGCAATCACTCCCGCAACCCCAGCATTGTACTTCTCGACAGTAAACATACTTTCCAGTGGGCAGTGGCAAATCAATATGATGGTGCAATGGAGCCACTTTTTTTACAAGCCAGCGTACAGTAGAGGGCATGTGGGGTATCGCTATGCAGTGCGTTATGATACCTGATTAAGTTCACTTAGCTCATTCCGTCGACAAAGAAGTGAACTAACACTTGGCTAGTAGTTACAGAAAAATTATTTTTGAATACAGTAGTAGTGCTTATCGTACCTCTACAATCCTAATACAACGACAGTAGTTGATGGTGTTGCTAGGGGATTGTGAGCCCTTGTAGTCGACTATTGCACATTCTACAACTCTCTAGACCGTAGAAAGGTGCAGA